AATATAATTGTGAATCTCCCCATTGTCTTTGACAGCCTCAATACTGTTTAAAACTCAAAAGTTCAAAGTATCTTCTGAGACACAAGGCAATCTCTTAATTTGTAATCCTTATAAAATCAAAACACATATTACTTGCATTCAATGTATTATTCCCCAGAATACACACTGGTCTTCCAAATGGGAATTCTGTAACAAGGTAAGATCAGAAATCAACAGGGAAAACACACAATCCTTTAGTTCTACATCTGATGTCACGAGACTGTTGCCTCTACTCCTTGACTTTGATGCCTGTAATATACACCTCTCTCCTGGACTGGTTCCATTTCCCATGTGCAGTTCTCCTTGGCAGGTATCCCATGGCTATAGATTCACCAAAATTTTAGCAACTTTGCTGCAATTCAACATTCACATTCATAGCTTCATGCAATGCTTCTCAGAGCCCCTTGCCTTCTCAAAGCCTTCATGTAGGGACTCCTCTCCCATAACTTTCCTGGTCTTAGAAGTTCTCTGAAACCATGGAAGAATTCATGACCCTTTCAATCTTGCCTCCTTCATGCATCTAAGACAGCACCATGTTTGGCTATCAACTTGGGATGGATTCTGTCCCAGTGAGCCACATTAGCGACTGCCTTTGTTTGCTGTTGCTTTCCAGGAGCAGAAAAACCTTAGTCCCTTTCCTTTCAGAACCTGGAACCATAGCGAGATGAGGTCTCACCCTGCTCCAGTGCAGATCAGATCTCTCCTTAATGGTGCTTAACTCCTTAACAATTGTAGCTTCTCTTTTAGTTCGTGCCTTGGCTGTATCATTCCAAATGCTCCTTTTCTTTCTATCCTACTTGCTCTCTTTCGTTCTAGGCCTGAAGAAGCATTATCAATAAAAACGACAGATTCAACATGTAGTGTGTACATGAGGGAGGGGGTCCTGAGACAGGGTTTCTCTGTGTAACAGTCCTAGCTGTCCTGGAACTTTGTAGACCAACCAGGCTTGCGTGGAACTCACTGAGATCTGCCTGCCTCTGCCTCCCAAGTTTTAGGATTAAAGGCATGCAGCACATCCTGCTAAATCTGTCACTTTTAAATTTAGCCTCAGGCACGCTCTTAGGCTAAAAGCAGAAGGAGGTGGTCAGATCCAAACATCACAAGAATGGCTATTAGCCCAGTTGCTAATATTTTCTCTGAAACCTCTTGAGCTGGGCCTCCACAGTCCTGGTTGCTCTCAGCCTTGAATTCACAGGGATCTGCCTACCTCTGACTCCCTGAGTACCGGGATTAAAGGCATGTGACACCATCACCAACAGAATCTAATTCATTTTAATGTATTAATTAAACAAAATCAAGTAAAAAATTATTGCTCCATGGGAACTATGAAAGCATTAAGTTAACAAAATAGGCAAATCAAGGCATAATGATTTACATAGTAAGACAATACTTAAGTTTGCAAATTTATATAAAACACCAGAGGATTTTGTTTGTATATTTTCTTACTGGAGGGCACAAGAGTTTGAAAGAATTTTTTTTTTTCTCCTACTGCTTAAAGGATAATTACATAAAATGAGGCACTTAAGCATTTTTGTACTTGCTTCAGTCAGACCACATAGATAAAACTCCCACTACTAGTCAGGCCAGTCAGACAACATTTGAAAACCAGTCTCCAGAGGCCCTTGATCCACATCCTGGAGGAGCATACTCTTAACTAGGGAGGGGTGTTTTATCTTTCAGTAAAAGGAGGAACTATGATACTATATTTCAGGAGAATTAAAGGGAAACCACTCAAGCAGAAACACCATGATGGTGACTACAATCTAACTCACAGTTCAACAGACTGAATTCACCCTGTGAAAGACTCCTCAACCCACAACTTCAGAACACAAAGTTTCCATTACCTTTTGTTTATAGTCCTTAAGAGTGTCAAAGTCAAGTGGTATCATAAGGAAAAGTTCATGTATTTGGAATATTTGTCACAAACTGCCTTTCAAGGTATTGGGGAAGCTTGTCCTGCTACTGCAGGCCTATAATAATCCTTGCTACTTGGGAGGATGAGGCAGAAGGATCAGGAGTTCAAGTCTAGTCCCAGACTACAGGATGAATGCATGTAAGACTCAGCTGGGCAACGTAAAAGTAGAGTAGGGGATATATTTCAGTGGTTGAGTGCTCATGCAGGAGGCCTTAACTTCAGTCCCAGTTCCTACCTACCTACCCCCATGCATATGGGAGAGAGAAATGTTCCTATTAGTCAGAAATGTAAAAGAAGCAGGACTTTTTTTTTGTTTTTGTTTTTTGTTTCTGAGACAGGGTTTCTCTGTATTGCTTTGGAGCCTGTCCTGGAACTCACTCTGTAGACCAGGGTGGCCTCTAACTCACAGAGATCCGCCTGCCTCTGCCTCCTGAGTGCTGGGATTAAAGGTGTGAGCCACCAATGCCAGGATTTTTATGCACAAGTTAAAGTTAAAATGGCTCCTGTAGAGTCTGGGAAAATTTTTGTACAAGGTAAATACTATTTCCAAGTTGAATCGATGGCCTGCACATTGTTGAGCAGGTGTAAGATGAAGCCATGGAGTCTGCAAAAAACACAGCACTCTGTCTTCTATGAAGTGTGGAAACTGATTCTCTCTCTCTCCCCCCCCCCCCTTTTCTTTTTTCTTTTTTCCCAGGAGTGGTAGTTCCACAGAATACAAGATTTGAAATACCTGTCTTCCTCATCTAGGTGCAACGAAACGAGTCCAGCCAAGAATGAGTCAGATGACTATACACAAAGTTGCCAGTGCTTTTTCTGCCCCTTTTCACGTGGCCCTGGAAAGAAAGGGAGAAATGGAAAAGCAGCTGCAGTGCTAGCTTTGGTTCCTTCTATAAATTGCAATGGGACAGCTGGCACATGCTGTTAGGGCTGCTGTTCTTTTGTTTCAGTGCTAGGATAAAGCTGGGGTGGAGGGGTTGTCCAGAGTGGGGGGGGGGGCGTGGCAGGTTCCAAAGCAGGCAGCCGAGCTTGAGTGAGAAGTTTATTAGAAAGGGGAGTGAGGGGGAATGGAAGAGAGTAAAGAGACATAGAGACACCGGGCACAGAAGAGAAGAGAGAGAGAGAGAGAGAGAGGAGAGAGAGGGAGGGAGGGAGGAAGGTAGAGAGAGAGAGAGAGAGAGAGAGAGAGAGAGAGAGGAAAGAGAACAAAGAGCAAAGAAAGAGTAAGAGGGCGGGGATCTATCTTTTAAAGGGGTCCTTTACACACCTCAATCTAGTACTCATGGAACTCTGGGCTGACCAGAGTACTGTCTGAGTGCATTCTGCCAGGTGACAGGGGCAGGCCAGCATAATGCCTGAATCTTTACAAGGGCTACTCATGGAGCCTCGGTTTTAACATTTGAACTCGTCACAACCCGGAGCTTACTAAAATGTGCCTGAAGTTATCCAGGATTACCTAGTTAACTTCTATGTAATTGGATAGTTTAACTTGATATTTTCTTCCCATATTAAAACCATAACTCAAAAAGGAAATTTTTGAGTTAAAAGAATATGGAGATGGTTGCTTTTATGGATAGATTTAAGAAGCATTTATTCATTGGTTTTGTGCATATGCAAACGCACGAGTACATGCCCACTCCACAATGCATGTGACCTTAGAGGGCAACTTGAAGGAGTTGGTTCTCCCCTGGCACACGTGGGTCTTGGGGATCAAACTGAGGTTATCAAGCCTGGCAGCAAGTGCCCTTACCATCCCACCGGGCTGATAGTTAAGATTGTAATGAAACTGAATTGTCCTTCCTTCACTGCCTTAGTGTACTTTCTAAGAAAGCTAAAGTATCATTTAATTTTCGCATGGGTTTTGGACTATCTCAAAATTAAGGCAGTCTTTCAGGACGTGGTCAGCCTTTAATCCAATAAAAAAGTTTTCCTGGGCTTCCAGGTGGCTTTTTCACTCAGCCATGTGCATTGACGGTTCTGAAGAAATCAAATCTCTTCATGTCCCCTGGAGGCCAGTCAAAAGATAATGCTTGAGCCAGGCACAATTGTGCACACACCCTTGGACAGGCTGCAGCAGAAGATGGACAGGTGGAGGTCAGCCTGAGCCACGCCCAGCTAGTTTCAGTGGGACCTAAGTGATGTTGAGCGATGCTTTCTCAAATAAACAAAACAAACAAGCAAACAAAACTCCAAAAAGTTAATACAACACCGAAATTGAAGTACATTTAGTGCCTAGCATTTGTGTGTTCATTGCATTCCAGAAGTCTTGCCTGGCTTTTCTCATACAAAACTACAACAGGCCGGGCATTACAAGGTGAGGTGAGTTATGCAACGTGGCTAAGGACAAGCCAGACACTTCTGTATTTGTACCTGCTGTCTAATCTCTGGAATTGTTGGGGCTCTGATGCCAGGAAAATCCTGGAGCACAAACTAGGATGATGGGGAACTAGGGCCCAGTTCTAATTTTGTCCTATGGCAGGTCACATCTCTTGAGGGTCAGGGTTTCTGAGGAAATTAAGGCCAAAGCCAGACTTGAAGAGAGTGGGGTTGTTGGTGGTTGAGAAATGTTAGAAATATGAGCTGTCTAGACCTGGGAGAAGATCTTTATCAGTGACCTCTGTGCGTGTACAAATTCCAGACGCCGACTTTGAAAACAAGTTCAGCAAGAGACCCTCCAGCCCTCTTAGTGCCTGAAACTCTGGTCCAGCGCAAGCTTTGAACTAGGGGCAGGTAGGCACTAGCGCCTCCTTCAGCCTAAGGTAGCTCGACGGTGGCAGCGGGTGTGCCCACAGATAACACCAGCACATCCGGCCTGGGGACCTTCGGCGGGGCTCGCGCTGCCAGTGGCGCGCTTCCACTCGGAGCCGTGGGCTCCTCCCTGTCTCGCTTCTTGACAAGCCAGCAGCCTGCAAGGGGCGGCACCGCTCTGAGGTCCCAAGGACGTCACGGACGCACGGTCGAGCCTCCAACCCCCCTTCACCCCCTCCTGCTCTGGCTCGCCTTTCCTTCTCTCCTTAGCCGGCGACGCCGCCGCGGCCCCGGCAACCGGCGCTTGCACAGACACACACACACGCGTGTGCTCCGCTCCTCCACCTCCTTCTGCACCCGGGTCCGAAGATGGCGGCTCTCAAACTCCTGTCCTCCGGCTTTCGGCTCTGCGCCTCCGGCCGCAGCTCGCGGGGCGCCTGGCACAAGGTAAATCGAAGGGCTCGAAGAGGAAGTCCACGCGCGGGAAAAGCGCGGACGAGCCGCGAGCGGTTCCTCTGCCCTACCCATCCCCACCACCTCCAGCCGGGGACCTGGCATCCCCAACGCCGTGCCCGAGGCTCGGAGACGGTGGGGTTTCAGGCTCGCCTGCTCCACCGGCTGTCGGTCTTTGCTTTCCATCCGCTTCCCTGATGGGGCAATGAAGGCAAGCAGAGCTGGAAAAACGGTTGGGGCTATGTGCAGCGCTGCAGCGACTTCAGGGGCTGCCCGCGTCCCCGTGGCTCAAGCCCCCACCCGCTTCTCCGCCTCCGCCCCTGGGAAAGGGTCCCCGTGGCCGCCGCCCTAGAGAGGGGCGGGTTGAATGAGCTGAGTCGGGAAGGGCGGCGCACCGAGGCTTGCGCCCCACCTTGGGGTGCTTTTTGCCTCGGCATGGGCGCCCGCTGAGGCCCAGATACCCCGGCTGGATTAACGGCTGCTGGCTCAAGTTCATTACCAAGTGGGCGGATGCTGTGAAGGCAGGGTCGGACTGCAGCTCCAACCTCCCCTTCCCTATATGGCGGTGGAAAGGGGAACCCGGACTGGAGCGCTCATCACGGGGCGTCTAGCTTGCCAAGCCTTTGGAAGCGGATGGAGGGTTGGCAGTGCTCGGTTGCAGTCTGCAACCGCAGTCTGTTTGCCGCCTTCCAGGACTTGGAGCACTCACCCTCACCCCGGCCCCAGATCCGGATTAGAGACATGAAAATTTCAAAGTCTTTAATAATAATAATAATAATAATAATAATAATAATAATAATAATAATAATAATAATACCTTGACACGCTACACTCCCACAGCTCCACAGAATTGGTATCCAGAGATGCCCTCCTAGCGGGTCAGCGAGTGGTGGGTGGTTTTGCTTGTACACTGTCTTGCCTGTAAACATATAAATTCGTGTTGAATTTCAGTGTGGAGCCAAGGAACTGAGTACTGGGGAAGAATTCAGCTCCAGGAGGGTGGCTTCACCGTGGTGGGTTCAGTTTGCTCAGGAACCTCTTCTTTGAAGGAGAAAGCGAAGTGTTTTCTTTGGCGATATTTCCAGTTGTCTTTCTGAGCTGAAGAGTTCATTCATTGTACAGGGCATGTGCTCCTCATGTGTACTCCGAACTCCTTTCTTTCTCTGTTGCTTATTTCCTTGCTAGCGAAGTCACCAAACTACTCCCTCATGTCCTAGGGAATACTTCAGAACTAAGTATTCCCTCATAGGAGGCATTTTTGTAATTGCAAATAGATTTGGATAAATACAACATTGTTAAAAGAGGACTTGACCATCAGTCAGCCTGCTGCAAGTGATGCCAAAACCAGGACACAGGGATGTCCTTGGGCCAAGGTCAGAAACATTCTTTTGGTAGTGCATGTTTGTCTGAGACTAATTTATTCAACTGTAGTCTACCCCACTTTCAATATAATCATTAAACCATTCCTCAAGCCAGCAAACCTCTAGGTGTATGAGTTATAATTATGGGTTTTGCTGTCTCTTATTAAAAGTTTGTGGAAGGGTTCAAAGTTTGGCTTCTCAGGTATGGTAAAAGACGGCCCAGGCTCTTGGTGTCTGGAGTACTCCACCAGCTCATGCATTGATTGGTCTTAGCTTGCTTAGCACTTAACTCATCCCAGCTCTGTTGAGTTGCAATGCTTGTGTACCTGTTTAACTTTGGGACCTTGTTAGAGGTCGGTTTTGTCTCCCTCAACTTTACACACTGATCCACAAAGAATACCCATTTAATATGTGCATGAGAGAACTTTGGGGGTAGCTTAAGTAACCTTGGACATTTTCCAGCTAAATATAGCCAACAGGTAAACCGAGATAGTTATTAAAACACGCTTTTATGTTTTTGTTTTGGGAGACAGGAGCTTGTACCCAGGATCCTTTTGCTGCAGCTTGCAGAATTCTGAATATCATGTGTGGTCTTATTTACAATGCCTGGCTTAAATGAACAAACAAACAAACAAACAATTCAACTGTTTGTTTTTTCATGGTGAGCAAGATCATTGTCTGAAACATTAGCATGACTCAGGGTTACTTGGAGGCTTTTAAATCCAATTGCTGTGCCATCTCCAAGATTTCTGATTTGGTAGGTCCTAAGTGGATCCATTCACACTGAACACGGATCAGTTCCTCTTGGCAGAGATGGCACAGTTTTCCTGGCAAGCGTGTATGCCCTATTCACCTGAGTATTGCTGTCTTTCCCTCCTAACTGGCTTGTTTGTTTTTGTTTTTTGCCTCTTTCCATGACTCTCTTCCCCACTTCTGTTTACCAAACTTTGATACTAAGGTAGGCAATGTCAACCTTTCTGTGTCATGATTTCTTTAACAGTAGTCAGGTGACAACATTACTACTTGGGTGTCTAGGTGTCTATCATTAAAGTAATTTAAATATATATATATATATTTAAAAATGTGTTTGGGGTCAGTGAGGTGGATTGGTGGATAATGGGACGTCACTAAGTCTGATAATTCACCTTTGACCTTTAGGACTTACATGTTAGAAAGAGATAACTGTCTCCTGCAAGGTGCCCTCTCACCTCCACAGGTGTGCTGTGGCACATCCCTTCCCTGCCCAGATACAAACACACCTGCACGCACCCACAGAGTCAAACTCTAAAATGCATCTCAAAAATGTGAGTGTTTGCTTTATTTTCATCCCAGAGTATATTTTCACTAAATTCTCAAATGTTAAAGGACAAGAAAAAAGAGATGTAGGTGAAAGAGATAACAGTGCCAGTGAAGTCATGAGATGAAATTTAGGTTCATCCATGGAGTAAGACTTCAGAGGTTTGGTCTAAGAACTTGAAGAAGGTAAAAAATGGAGATGCTGTTGAAGGGAGAAACATCGAATTGAAAAATATTTCCCACTCTTTAGAATTTTATTTCATTAAAATACTTAAATCATTATGTTCCTCACTCGATTTTTTTGTTTGTTTATTTTTGTTTTTTTTTGAGACAGGGTTTCTTTGTGTAGCTTTCGAGCCTGTCCTGGAACTTGCTGTTGTAGACCAGGCTGGTCTCAAACTCACAGAGATCCTCCTGCCTCTGCCTCCTGAGTGCTGGGATTAAAGGCCTGTGCCACCACTGCCTGGCTTTCCTCACTCAATATCAGAAATTAGTACCAACAATAACACAGGGTTTGCTGAAGGTAGGAGAGTAGCCAACTCAGGTACTTTGTGATGAAAAGCTTAACTCTAGAGTATCTGTCTGCATGGTCTTTGAAAGTATTTGGCCACAGTTGGTACATGAACTTTTTTTCCAGGAATGATCTCGTAAAGCCCAGGCTGACTTCAAACATTCTGTGTAGCCAAGGCTTCAATTTCTGATCCTTTTGCTTTTAGCACTAGGATTGCTGGTGTGCTGCTGGGGCTCACTAGGGCTTTGCTCATCCCAGGCAAACCCTCCACGAATGAGTTTTTATTTTCAAGAACACCATTTAATATATAGAACCTGTTGGAAGGAGGAGGTTGATTGGGAGTAGTTTAAAGAACCTCTTTGAACCTGCCTATCTGAGCAAAAAAGGGAGATGTTATCAGAGACACTTTTCCCCAGTTGCCCAATCTTAGGAATTATTGCCAGTGATGTCAGTATTTCTTGACTCTCAGAGAGAGACACAGAGTGAGTAGAGGAACAGAGGAGAAGCTGGTTAAGAGAGCAAAGCCAAAAGCTCCCTGTAAGGGGCTGCCTTCTGGACTTTAGGTTCTGAAGATCCTCTCTGGTACAGTTAGCCATGGGCATTGCCCACTGTCTATACTCTGTCCCCTGGGCTCGCCAGGTAATCTCAGATTTTGCAGACTGGCAAACTGGATTGCAAATGAGATGAATGTATGGCTGGATAGTGGTATGTGTTTGTAGTCCCAGCTGCTTGGAACTGAGGCAGAAGGATTGCTTAAGGCCAGGACTTTGAGACTAGCCAGACCCACAGAGTGAGATATTGTCAAGGAAAAGAAAGAATGAAAGGAATGAACGAACAAAGGAAGGAAGGAAAAAGTAATCATAAAGCTAAGCCCTGTACTTTGAAAATGTTAAAGAAATATATGGATTAATTTGCAATGGCGATGGTCGTGTTACAATATTTTCCGTATGAAATCATTGATTGGGGAGGGCAGGCAGGGAGTGGTGAGGTTAAAAATTAAACTCCAATAAATGACAGCTTGGTTTCACTGTCTTAGCTGGGAGTGGAAGAAGGTGCCATTTCCCAAAGGAGGATGACATCCCCTCCGAAGTTGCTATAGTCTGGCATAGAGCTTCTTTGTAACTGTATCTTTGGGAGATGTTTGACAGTTGTCATCTTTAGGCATTGAGCAAGCTCTTCTCCTGGCTTTGACTAAAATAGTACCCCTCTATAAAGACATAGTCAGTGGTTAAATAATTCTAGGTTCCGTCGTGGTTGAACTGGAATTTGACATGAGGGAACTTTTGACCCCTGAGTATATGGCATGTTAAATCATACTATTTCCCAAAGAATGTGGCTAATTTTCTCTTTTCTCTCTCTCTTTCTTCCTTTCTTTGTTCTTTTCTTTTTTCTTTTCTTTTCTTTTTTTCTTTCTTTTTTTTTTTTTTTTTGAGACAGGGTTTCTCTGTAGGTTTTGGAGACTGTCCTGGAACTCTCTTTGAAGACCAGGCTGGCTAGAACTCACAGAGATCCACCTGCCTCTGCCTCCTGGGTGCTGGGATTGAAGGTGTGTACCACCACTGCCCTGCGGTGGCTAATTTTCAGATATTGAAAAATATTTTATTCACAGTTGGTTTCTCAGTAAATGTACATAAATACCAAACGCCAATAAAGCACATCTTAACCAATATTAACATGTATGAATAATGGGAAAAGATCAAACCTTTATGAACCCCACCTCATGGTCTGATGTGGGTGCTGGGAAGTGATCTTACTACTCTGCAAGCCATCGCTCCAGCCTGCCTACCTCACCTTTTTGTTTTGTTTTGTTTTGTTTTTGGTTGTATGGGTGCACTTATAACAACCTCCCACATCGGTTGAACCCAGAGACGTTTGCCTGCTAGGCAAGTATTCTGCTCCTGAACTACATCTCCAGCACAGCTTCCATCTTTTCTAAAAATTTCTGATGGCTTTCTTTTCTTTTCTTTTTTCCTTTCTTTTTCCTTCCTCTTTAAGAAGGGGGGTGTTCAGAGTTGGACAAGCTGCTGGGTAATTAGTGCTGGCTGCTAATTAGTGCTATGATGTCACTAGTTATCAGCTACTACAAAGGGGTGGGATTCCTGCTAAGTGTGTGGTTCTGTGCTGCTTCCGAATCTTCCAAGGCTCTTGGGGTGCACGAGGAATCAAGTCTTCTTCCAGCATTCTCTCTGTGAAATTCCACAGAGAAGCAGTTCAAGGTGACCTCACCTTTCAGGCTGTTTGGGTATAGATGAATTCTTTCATTTTCTTCCATATCCTGCTGAGGCCTGGACTCTTTCTTCTCTGGCAGAGATAATGACAGCAGAGTTACACATTACAGAACAGGACTGTCATAAAGATTTGTTGTGTGAGCTGGGCGTACACCTTTAATCCCAGCACTCGGAAGGCAGAGGCAGGTGGATCTCTTGTGAGTTCGAGTGTTTGAGTCCAGCCTGGTCAACAGATCTAGTTCCTAGACAGGTTCCAAAGCATTATAGAGAAACCCTGTGGGGGGGGGAGCAGGGGTTGTTGTGTGTAAATGACAGTAGAATGATAGAGGACTTTCAGAAAACATGGATGTGTGCACTGTGGTGGAAAGACTGTGTGTGTGACAGAAGCCCAAACCTGAGATCAGTCACTCTGTTTTTTATTACAGTTTCGAGTATAGTGCATCCACAAGTTTATGTGGAATACTTTTATGTTCTGCTTATTCAATCTATGAAACTTTTACTTGTTTAAAGATTTATTCTTTGAGTGTGTGTGTGTGTGTGTGTGTGTGTGTGTGTGTGTGTGTGTAACAGGAGCAAATGAATCTCACTAGTTGAAGACAGGAAGAGAAGAAACATCTCTGTGATTAAGCCCTTTCAGAGCCCTTGTCCCTCCCTCTACTTATGTCCCAGGCTTTGGGCAGTGTGCAAACTCCTGACCTGACCTTGACCAAAATAGAAACTTAAAGGGACAAAAGTCATGTGGTCATGTGAGTAACCTTGACCATTTTATCACTCATTTGACTCTCAGTGTATACCCCTTAAATGGTCTTTTGTGCCAACTGACAGGTACTTTAAGAAAAAAAAAAAAAAAGGAAAATAGTTTTTAGAGGAAAGAAGGATCTCGACCACCTCAGGTTGTAGCTGTCTGAAATTCTGTTGGGTAGGCAAGTGGTTGTGACTTTATAGCTGGGCCTGTTAAGATGGCAGTATATCAGGGTTTGGCTGTTATTCTCTCCACTTCCTCTTCAGGTTAAATATATAATGGAAATAAAGGACAGTTAATGTGGGTCATTAGTTACCATAGAATCAATTTCCTTCTTTTCGCTTGCCCATACTGTGGATGGAACATACAGGGCAATAACTTAGGACTGTTTTTATGGATGCTTACTGGATGACTCATGTGAGGTCCATCCCACTTTCTATAGCAAACACCTCAGACTGAGTATTTATACAAGAAGTTTATGTAGCTCATGGTTAGATGGAGACAGAAGTCCACAATCTATCTGCTGACTGTATCTGGTGAGAGCATTGTGTTGCTCTACGGCAGAGGAGCAGAAGGACAAGCAGAGTGCAGGACTGCAGCCTCTCTTTAGAAAAAGCTTAGTTTTGGCAGTCTGTAGTTCAGTGCAGCAAGAGCAGGAACTTGCTTGACCCTGCGAGAATGAACCCTGCAGCATTCCCAGCTTTGTGCAGGCTCACAGGCCTCATGAAAGTCCTACTGCTTCTCCACACTGTTGACATGGGGACCCAGTTCTGCTGTGGGCTCTGGAGGTAACAAACCATCTAGAGATCATAGTGTGCCCAGGTAGTTCTCTGTGTGGCCCAGCAAGGCCTCCCTGTAGTGACAGTTTGCTGCTTTGCTTTCAGCTTCTGGGATAGGGGCATAGGGAAGAGAGTCCTCTGGCATGCTGCTCTTTCTTGTCTCTTTAGAGTTCTCTTAGCACTTGGAACTGACTGCACACTGTACTTAATTCCTCAGAGAGCAGTAGTCATACCAAAATGTGCATCAGATAAATGAGGTAGAACTTAGCACAGGTAGGTTCTCAGGATTTGTCACCTGACTAGAAAGGGAGGTTATGAGAAATGGGTGACTGATGAAGCCAGTATTGTTGTGCATTTGCATTCTAGTATGTGGTATGAGTTATCTACTTTTATTCTTTGGGTGGTGGTCACAAGTGGCACAGCTGGATGTTCCCGCATGTAATAGAAGATGTAGATCACAAGGGGTCCTGGTGAGAACCTGTCAGTAGAGCTTGTCCATTTAAAGCCCAACTCTTTACAGAGAAACAGCGTGAAATGGCATTGCAGGGGTTAAAAGATGAAGGTCTCAGACAGATAATGGTCAAAGGACGAAATGTTTCAGTTAGACAGGAGAAATAAGCTTGTGGGATCTGTCATATGTTGTGGTGATGAGCAGTAGCAGTAACTATACTTGAAAACTCTTGAGTAGTTGTGAAAAGTTCTTTACCATAAAAGAGCAATGTGCGAGGTGATGCTATGCTAGAGAGCTCCAGTTAGTCATTTTACAATGTATACTTGTATCAGAATGTGATGTTATATACTGTAAACATACAAAAACATACTGTAAACATGCATTAAAAATACAAAATGCTAAAAGGAATAATGACTTTATCATTATATATAAATACATATCTATGCACGCACATTTATCTACATAAATATGGAATCATTTGCTATTGGTGTAAAGTGAAGCTGCAAATGATTGTTCACTGGAAATGTTTTTAATGTTCCAGGGGTGTGTCTGCTACTTTTCTGTCAGTGCTCGTCACCACACCAAATTTTACACAGATCCTGTGGAAGCTGTAAAAGATATCCCTAATGGGGCAACCTTGCTGGTTGGTGGTAAGTAAAGGGACTGTTTTCCTTTCCATGGTAATGTTCTTAGGAAAATCATGTGACAAAGCTATATAGACTCAAAGCGCCCATCGGTCTTTCATTTAGCTCTTACTCATTCACTGTCTTATTTTCGACACACCAGGGCACCTGCTACTCTATTATGGTCTCTTGAAAGATTAGTGCTTTCTTACTCTACGTTTCCTTTCCTTTTTTTTTTTTTTTTTTTTTTTTTTTTTTGGACATAATTGAAAAGCCAGAGGTTTCAGGTGCTGGTGTCTTATCAGGAGCTGTAATGGATCCCTAAGCCCTTGGGAATTCTGGTGAACTTGAAGCACATGCCTCATCTTGTTAGATACTCTAGCCTAGTATTTTGTTAGATACTCTAGGCTTTCGACCTTTGGGTTGTGATTTCCTTCACAGGAGTCAGCTAAGAGCATTGGAAAACATAGATATTGACATGATTCATAGCAGTAGCAACATTATGAAGTAGCAATGAAATAATTTTACAGTTGGGGGCCACCACAACATGAGGAGCTATATGAAGGGTCACAGCATTGCGAAGGTTGAGAATCACTGCTCTATCCACTCTGTATTGCTCCTATTTTCTTGAGCTGAAGAGCACAGGGTCTCTCTGTTGTTAGCCCCCCCCCCATATTCTTTTTCTCTGTTTCTGCTACCTCTTTGGAATGTCTTTAGTAATCTAACTGCCTCAGATTTAATTACATTTAACTTCCCGATTCTTATATATGGAATCTGGACTTAGTTTAGGCTGTTATTTTTTCATTCATTCAAATTGGAAAGTTATTAAGTGTCTATCTTAAATCCTGCACTCCTGGAAGAATTTTAAAGATGTTAGAAATGAAAGTTATTAGCTTAGTGTTCTATTTCTGTAAAATATACTAATTCAGATGTATAAAAGTGCATGTTTAGATTACAGCTGGATATGGTTTATATTATGAAGAAGGGCAATAGTTCACATGTCATATACAGCTGATTATACTTAGCCTTAACTTACTCAAAGTCTTGACAGTGGTGTCTGGTATAAATAATGGTTTGAAACACTGAGATCCAGTAATATGACTGATGGCTGTTTAATGAGTTGGTAAGGTATAGTTGTGTGTTTTGCTTATTACGTTTAACAAAATGCTTTGTGCCTTTTCTTTTCTATTGAGAATAATAACATGCATATCTGGAAATAACATTACCTCTGCACAGATTGTTTCCCTTTTGGGTTTTGTAGGTTTCGGACTATGCGGAATTCCAGAAAATCTTATAGGAGCTTTATTGAAGACTGGAGTGAAAGATCTAACTGCGGTCAGCAACAATGCTGGGTGAGTGGATTTCTGAAATGATTAGCTCGAAAGACGTGCCAGTTTAAAAATGTCACTTGAAAAGTTTATCAGTGATCAGGGATGAGACCACTGATATATTTTACAGTTTCAAGTAGTCAGCTCTAGACACATGTATACCCAGTTGGACTCAGTAGGATCTATCTATCTGTCTCTGTCTGTCTGTCTGACTGTCTGTCTATCTATCTATCTATCTATGAAATTATCAAAAAATATAAAAAAAATCTATCAATGAAATTAAGTTTTGCCTCCAAGAATAAGAAATATATTCAGTCCTCAAAAGATAGTGGCTAGCTGGCAATGGTGGCACATGATTGTAATCCCATGACTAGGTAGACTGGGGAGAATAATAAATTCAATACCAGCATGATCTATATACCAAGCAGTGAAACTTCCCTCTCACAAAACAGAAAAGTGAAGAGTAAGCACAAGAATGGAAGGAAAGGTTTTTGTTTCTGTTCCTTAACTTGTAGCACTATGCTTGAACTTAGGTCTTTGGGCTTGTTAGGCAAGTGCTCTACTTCTGTCACCAACCTTCTTTTTTACTTTTGATTTTGATGCAAGATACTGAATCACAGCCTAGCCCTGGGCTTTCTTTGTAGCCCAGGGAGATCTTGAATTAATGAGTTTCCCGGCTTAGCCTCTGAAATAGGTGGAGTTGCAGGCCTGTGTCATCAGGCCCAACAAAGTTACACTTATTTGCATATTTTGATGCCATGTTTCATAATCATAAGTAAAGAAGATTTGCTTTACCTTAAATAAATATCTAAATGGCTTATATCTTTATCTGATATGCTTTCATTTTTTAAAAAAGTAAAATATATGTAAAATAAGTGTAAAAATGTCAGAATAAAAAAACTTAAAAATGGCCCCTCATGCTTTTTTTATTAAAGGCCATTATGTATAAAGCACAGCAGACATCAGTTTGAAATGTTTCAAGTTCTTTCTCTACTTTATAACAACACATGCTATATAAAGAGATACATTGGCCATAAAACTGTTGCTGTTCTTGATGGGATGTGAAGGACATGCTATCAGTTTAACAGTAGGGTTGTAAATTAAAATGGTCATAATAAGCCATTGTTTTAAAAAGGCATGCACATGTTGGTACATTTAGTGATGTCAGAAAAAACTATTTGCATGCAAAACAGTTAAGTCATTGGCATCCTTTTGACAAAGGAATGAAAGATTTTAACTATTTTAAGATGTTTTGAATTGGCAAGTTGGCATATTACTATAAAGGCTTTGAGAATAAACACTGAGGATTCTATTGGAAGTGAATGATGGCAACGGCTCATTTTATGAAGTATCTGCCGAATTCTCTCAAAAATCGGATCTTGTGTTGTGTGACACTTTTCACAGGGAGGTGAAATACATGTAGCTTGATGAGCCAGTGAGTTTATTGGAATTACTCACAGGAATATGGTTAGGGGTTACTAGCCAGAGCATAGACCATTCAAAGGTAGTGGTATCAACAAAAGCCCACTCAAGTATGGAGGATGACTCATCAAAGTTGGAGTCCTGGAGCTCTCTTCATGACTTGCAGGGATCCTGACAGGTTGGAGAGCCTTCTCAGTAGTCCTAACTACTTATATAACCTCGGGGTGGAAGGGCCTTTGTGAATCTGTTAAGTTTCAGGTACTCCTTGAGACATGTGATTTTTTTTTTTTCCCCTTAATCTCAACAGTTTCTTTTAAAACTTCCCTTGAGACATGTGAGTTTTCTTTCTTTCTTTCGTTCTTTTTTGTTGTTGTTGTTTATTTCTTGAATCTCAACAGTTTCTTTTTAAAACTTCCCGTGTTTTAATGAGGTCCCTTCTAGCATGGAGTATTTCAGTTCAGAGGAAATTGCTATATGACACTTTTGTATGAGATACTAGCAGTTAGCCTTGATGAGATAATTGCTGCTTTACGATTACATTTATTTATTTAATAGTGTTGATTGAAATGTTGAAAAAGCTGAGAATTCATTGATTTTTGGAGAGCTTTGAGTTGTAAACCAGTGTGAACCAAAAGTTTCACAATAAACTATGTCAACCATTTAACTACAGAGCCAATAGAAAAATGGATGTGTTATGATGTGCATGCTACTTTCTTCCTGACAAAAGTATTTGGGTTATATATATATAAAAGAATGAGATGACTCCCTGCTTATATGTTGTGGAAGGTCTGTACTGTTAGAGAATACTTAATAATGTATACTTCTGATTTCTTCAACATCATATTAGTCAGATACAGGATAATATTGAGGGTGCAGTGAATCGTCCCTCACTCAAAATAAAAATCTTAATTGTGTGCTAGTGTCTTCCAACCCAGAGTTAAAAGCTAGTGGACTCTGCTATGCCCTATTCTTTTTATTTCTACAGCCACAGCTATGGTGACACCCCTCCTCTCCCCCCCCCCCCCGAGCCAATACTGGCCATGTTGTCTTGACTGTGAACATTCTGGGGGGTTTTGTTTAGGAAGGCCTAATGATGTCCTGAGATGCACACTTACATGTATGTGCTTAGTTTATGAAAGGTTTTATTTGTGCCATGGGATGACTGAACCTTATATACAAATAATATAATTTTCTTCTACTTTTGCACTTTTGATATTATCAGAGTAATTATAAATTGTATGATTGACATTAAAAAATGTTCCTAAATGAAAGTGAAGAAATTGTTTCCCCAATTTTTAAAATAATTATTGCCAATAAGTGATATTTTAGAAATTAGATATTTAAGAGGGTTTTTTGTTGTTGTTTCCTTTTTGTTTATTTTAAAACTTTTTTGTTTATTCTTTGTGTCATCATACCATGCATCTTGTTCCCATTCATTTCCCAGTCCCTTCATATCTGCCCTTGCAATGCTCCCTCCCAATAAATTAAAGTTTAAGAGAAAAAAGAGAAAAGAAAAAAAAAAGGAAAAAAAATCATACCATGGAATATGTAGTGTAACACAGTGAGTCACACAGTAAATCCTTTTATCCATATGCCTTTACTTCAAGTGTTCATTACAGAGTCATTAGTCTGGTTCTAGGCCTCTGGTTTCTGTTACACTATAAATGCTTCACCCTCACTGTAACTCCTCTTGAATATCTTCTTGTTGCCCTGTGTCATGGAGACCTTATAGCTTTAGATCTGTAGGACCGGCTCCTTCATGAGCTCCAGAAGATCATAGATGGGGTGGATGTTGGGGTGGGTCAACTCATAACCCTGGTTCTGGGATTGAGTAGTTGCAGGATTAGTCAGCCCACAAGCTTTCCCTTGTTCTCACCCCATTCACCCCTTGCAGTAATGAGCAAGAAGTGGGTATTAATAATTTTAAAAAGTGGTACGAGAGTGAAAGATGCCATTTGACAAAGCTTGGGTAGAGGGGTTTTTTATTGGGGGTAAGTGACTGGAAAAAGGGGAGAGGGGAGAAAGGATATCTTTCCTGCAATGTCCATTTTGGTTTACATTAACATTCTCTATAGATTTTTGGCTTTAGAGTTCCTTTAACCACTGAAACGTCTGAAATCTTATAAAATCCAGAGTGTTTTTTCTTCAGGTATTCTTGACAATATTGTGTCCTGAAGTCAAGCAGTGCCACCTGTTGGAGCTTGCATTGGCATCACCTTCCGCAGTATCAAGGTGCACAGAGGCTCTTTCATACTGTTAGAAATGGTGTGTTCCTCATTTGCCAACGGGCACACATCTTCAATCTTTGTATCCTGAGCTCTTAGATGTTAGGGATGTAGTTTACTAATTTTTTTTAAATAAATCAGGTGATGAAACTATTATATTAGATACACTTATTTAATGACTCTGTGAATTATGAAAGAAAGACACACTCTCATGGTAAGCTATCTAGCACTAACTCTACCTGGCCCAGTTTTCCAGAATCTTAGGCATTGCCTGGTTGCTATGCCAGGAGATGACTAGTCTAAAACAAAGGCCAAATACATAGCCCCAGAGCCAAGATCAACAAATACAGAAGATCATCTTTAAATAGGGCCAGGTTAAAATGTGTAATGTGTTGCAAAATTAAACAAAGAGGTATGAAAGAGTGGTCAGAAAAATTTCCAAGTCAATGAATGATCAACTATGTCCTGGTTTTTGGAATGGACTCTGTAGGCTTGGCATGTACTTCAGATATTTAAAACTACAGGAAACATATGGCCTGTAGCCACCTTCATGGGTTGTTTTATGATTTTATTAGTCATAGCTCTGGATATTATCACTGGTAATTGAGGACTTTACCAAAGGGACTCCATCAAAAGGACCGATTATAGCTGAAGGAAAACAACATGACCTTTAAATAACCCTGGTGGAAAAGCAGAGAGACACTGTTGCCATCAGCCCTCACATGGGAGCCCTTGAGAGAACCAGTATTTAGAAGTTTTGTATATAGAAGGGAAGAGAGCCCTAGGACTACAGCTGGCATCACTGTTCTCTGGACCACACCCCTGATAATGTATCCCCGTTGGCTCAGCCCAAGCAGAAGGCAGTGGCAAGAGAGCTCCTAGTTCCAGGCACAGGATACATACCAAACAGACTGGAAGCTAACAGTGGACAAGTAGGAACTAATGAGTGATTGTGCTGGTCAACATTGACTGCCAACTGTCAATTCATCACCACCTAGAATTTCAAGGGGAGAAAATCATCCCCTTCCCCGCATCCTTTCTTCCTCCAGACAAGGAATCTCTTTATAGTTTTGGCTGTCCTGGAATTCAGGCTGTTCTCAAACTCAGAGATCTGCCTGACTTTGACTCTGAGTGTTGAGATTAAAGGCATGTGCCACCACTGCTCAGCCTAGGGAGAGACTCTTAATGGGGAATTACCTATATCAGTTTGGCCTATGGTCATTGAGGGATTGTTTTGATTGGGTAAAAACACGGCCCATGATAGTGGTGCCATTTCATAGGCAGGGGGTCGTAAAGCATATAAGAGGAGAGAAGAACGCTAGCTGAGGTTGAGCAAGGATCCGTGCATTTATTCCGGTTCTTGGCTGTGGATATGTG